TCTAGTTTAATTTCAGTAATTTAACGGAGTATATTTATATTTAAAAATCTTGTTCTGGTAGCATGCTAGGATTATTTAATTAACAAGTGTGATCTATGCATATCCTGGATGTTAATTGTTGAAATATTAGATATTTTTTCTGCAATGCATGGATTTAAGTTTGGAACTTTAGTTGCGGTAATTTTAAGCATTACACTGCAATTATTTGGATTAGAGTTTGGACTTCAATTGGATGTTGGCTTGGAATTAATTGAAGAATTAAATTTATATTTTCTGTCAATTACATGGATGAATGCTGGAATTTAACTTGACGAATTAGTAAACTTTGTCTTGTTTGATTTCATGGATGGATTCTGGATTTGTAGTTGATAACTTGTTTAAATTATGTGTTTATCAACTATATGGATAATGTGGACTTTATTTGATGTACTGCTTATATTGTTGCATCATTTACGGATCATATGCATGGTATGTACCGGTATGGGATAGTGACATACGGAGGGACAGATTAGATCAAAACGCTAATTCCAACCCATTCATACATACGGAGTGGATTAACTAAAACAGTTAAATCCTACATGGTTTCATGTCCTGTCAACTAAAATAGTTGAACGACATATTGGATGGTTGTTTATATTTTCTGTTAATAGGAAAGATAGGGATTTAATTAAAATATTTAAATCCTAATTATATGTTGTGTTTTGGCGATGAATAGTTGACCGGCTCAATATTGTATTTGGATGGGTTGTATATACACTTAATGTATGTTAGTCTGTGCGGCTGAACAAGCTGAACGACTAGCTGGATTTTCTTATGGTTGGATAGGATCGGACTTTATATATATAATTATGGTACCGCGATCTGAGCTTGAGTCTCATAGTCGACGGTTAGGGAGCGTATATGCAGTAGGATGTGTAGCTAGCTATGTTGGTTGAGGTATACCCTGTTAGGCTTAGGTAGTCATGCCCACTCAGGTGCGTATTGCATGTTACCTTCTATTCAGGTTGAGACCCTCAGCATAGTTAGTGAGAGTCCTGTAGTGTGGTTATATGTATATATCTATTTACGGACTATATAGATATGGTTGAGACATCTAGGATGTATCTGCGTATCGGGTCTCTGTTTGGATTGTAGTTAGGATAGAACTTGTTTGTGGGCCTGACCCACTATTATTTTTCAGGTAACGGACGGTTCCAGGTCTTAGAGCTTGTTCATGCTGAGCAGAAACGTCTACTCATTCTACCGACGATGTAAGAGGTTCTTCATGGTTTAGCAGTGGACTTCTTTTTAGTTGTTCGCTTTCTAGTATTGGCTTTTGATTAGGGGTCCACCAGATGGATTCTCGAGTTGTATTATAATTGGATAAGTTGGTTATAACAGACTAGTTCTTATTTATAAGATTTATTCTGAAGTTTTCAATAAAGGATTTTCATTTAGTTTCTTTCTAGTGAATTTTATTTACTCATGTTTATCTTAATTATATTCTGTGTTCGATTATTGCTAATTGATTTGATATCCTCGGATTATCGGGCGTGGGCCTGGCCAACCCGCATCCGGAAATCCGGGGGTATCACACACTTTAACTAGTCTTTTAAAGGCCAAAGTAGTCACAAAACTTATTTACCTGACTTACGCGTGGTTCAACCTAATACATAATCCGTATGTCCGCTTGAGCTTGTGAAGATCACTAAATACACAACCTTCAAAACCGAGACACAAATAAATTAAAATTACAATTTGATAATCAAGTTTTGACATATTATATATGTCAGAACACAATATGGTTTCTCACATCTCATCATTCTAATTTCCTCTACAATACCAAACTCAAAAAGCACAAGATAATTCAAACCAACTTCTCAAAAAATAAAAGACAAATTTAAATAATTGATAAATTTTGACTATAAAAAGGTTTCTAGAACGCGAACAAACCTCCAAACATTATTTAATTTTCAATATGTAGTTCGAATATTAAAGTTTATCTAGTGAATATTGCAAGAATTTTAATCATGCATTTTCATGTTATTACAACATATTCTTTATTTGACATGATTTCTTCTTGTGGGAACCCATTGTCTTATGGAATGATTCTAGTCTACAAATAAGATAATATATCACAAATCAAGGGTATGCATGAAACAACTCCATGCATTAAGAAATGACATTTTTCAAATGCCAATGTGATGAAGAGAATCCAAATGGAAATGCCTTTAATTAAGCTGTTAAATTACGAGCTCGTCCCTGTGCAGTACAACACATGTTTTGTATTACATCAGACGGCTCAGAATGCAACATGTGCACCTATGCTGTACTGCACTGGATTCCATTAGGCTAAACCATACTTAATTGTAGGACGGCCATGCAGACTCGTGTGTGTGTGTGACACAGAGAGAGAATCCAAGCAAGATGGGGCTATGGATAAAAGATGAGAAAGGGAGGGAATACGTTAAATATGTCAAAAAGCAAGGCACCAAATGGGAGAAAATTCCTTTCCATATGTTAACAAACAAGTTGGTTATAGGTTAGGGGAATAGGGAAAAGAAAAGAAAAGAAATGGCAAGGGGGTGCATATCAAATCTATAATGCGCACCCAGCGTTAAGTAGCCAAGACTGCCACACACTAAAGACTGTCTACAATCCGGACCCATACCCTCTAACTCAGTGCTCTGCAAAAAAAACATATATTTTATAGACACAGATTGGAATCCCATTGATGGGTTCTTCCTTTAATCATTTCTTCTCTTATTATTCAGTCTAAAATATAAGCATTATATACATATACATATATATATATATATAGAGAGAGAGAGAGAGATAGAGAGAGAGAATATTAAGGAAGGAAGAGTTATGCTTAGCATCTAACTTCACAAGTATTAGTTAGAGATATAATAATATATGCAATGATATAATGCTGAAATCTAATTTCGGTGATGCGAATGTTGAAAACTACAGTAAAAAATAACAACATCTTTAGAGGGAATAAAAAGATTAGTTGGCTTTATGAGGAAAAGAACCCTTGGTTTCTCTTTTATTTACTTAAAAGTTAAATCTATCTTTAGACAATTCAAATCCACCTTAGTAGCTTGCGTGTGTGGCTTTTTCTTTTTCAAAGATTGTTCATCTATTCTTCAGTAGCTGATAGAGAGAAGCATAAATGCTTTCACCAAAGCCAAGTATATCCCCTGCTTTTTAATATAAAGCAACAAGTGCACCAACAGGTTTGGATGACAATTTGACTCGAATTTTAAGAGTCAAATGTATTTTTATTTGTTCTTGTACAAGTTCCGTTAAATGAATAGAGTCATGATTCCATATACATCTTCCTAGTCGCTACACATGCAAAATTTCAAACAAAGTCCGAGTTCATGTACGCAATCTTACCTCTGCCTATGAAGAGGTTGTTTCCTTGATTCAAATCCGTGACCTCCATGTAATACTCAATGTAAAAAAGTGTGGTGGAACTATGGAGTTTTCCTTCACACTTCCCTTAAACAAAAAAGTAAAAAACAAGTAAAGAATGCAGTCATAGTCCCATAGACTCTCTCTAGCCCCTATAGAAAAGAAGATAAATTTGTTATTTCAGGTTTTTCTTTCAGGGTTGACTGGGTAGTCTTATGGACTTTCAAAACTTTACTTGATTCCTCCCCCTAAAACTTTATTTGATTGCAATGGGACTACTTTGTTCAATTTCACACCCTGCCCCTCACCCTTTATGTGTGTGTGTGTAATTCTTACCTAAGTACTTTTAACATTAAATTATGTGATGCCCTCATCGTCATGGCCTCATCATATTATTGTATTTCCAAAAGATCCCTGTATTTGGTATTATGATACATGTAATGCTACTTTTCTTTTCAATCCTGCTTCCAAAATTTACAAATAAGAGATGAACTGTCTTTGCTGTTCATTTCGAATTCACTGACTTTGGTTTTGTAGTTAATTTTTTTAAATCTGAGCCAAATTCCTTGTTTCTGAGGCAGAAATTTCTTGGAAGACTAGTATTTTAGCTTTTAATAATTTCTTACACTTCCCTACATTTTCTACAATTTTTTCCCTACATTTCCTACAAATTCAATGAGCACGTAACTTAAAATTCATATAAATTGGTTATTATGATTTGTGAATGACACTTGACATACAAATCAAGATAATTGAAAATAAATATACATGCGCAAGCACCCAAAAAAAAAGAAAAAAAGAAAAGGAAACGTTATATTAGTAAGTTTAAATGGTTTCATTCTGTATGGACTGGAAAAGGGGGATATGGAGAAACAAATAATAACAATAGTAAGGACAACAATATTAGAACAAGAGTAAAACCATATAATGTGAGTATGCATCGGCGAAAAAGACATAAACCTAAAATAATTAAGATGATCAGTGTGAAAAAGTGGGAAGCACTATCATTTTCTATTAGGCAGTACCCAACAATTCAATCCTTTTCATTTTTCAAATGTAAACAACTACAAAAATGGCATATCCATCACAGATGCTTATTAGAGAAAAACACACCCAAAAAGAAAATATTTCCGAACCTTAAATCTTAAGCTATTTCTATATTTATCATTACAGTGCCTCCCACTTGCTTCATGAATCATGATATAGGTACTTAATGTTCAACTTGGTGGTTTTAAAGCACAGTAGTGAGTATGTCCAACCTTGATATTGATATTGATCAGTGGCATGTTCTCATTTCCCACCTCTTGTTGTTGGATTTGAGCTGCATGATAATCCATGTAGCATGTCACTGTAAGGAGATTGAAAAAATAATTATAGAATGAATAAGCACAGATTAATGAAAGATAAAGAGCGGCGATGCCAATCTGATAAAGGGAAGAGGAACTCAGAAAAAGATTAGTATAAATAATGGATTAGAGCTAGTGTTAGAATAATTTAAGAGAAAAGGTGGGAACCCACCATGGAGGATAGACCAGCATCATAGAGCCTTTAACACATGAGAGATCCTCGTTTGTGTGTGTGTGTGTGTGTGTTTATATATTCATGTGTTGCCCATTTTACTTTAGTAAGCCAAGTTAAAAGCAACTGCTTAACTTCTCTCTCTTTCCTCCCAACTACAACAACAACATCAAAATCAGTTCAACCAGATCATGCCCTTCCACAATTTAGTTCTGAAACCAGAAAATAGCAGTAGCGACTCCGTTGAAGGTCTTCCCAATATGTCTAATCCCAATAACATGTCAGAGCCCCATAACACGGCTGTCCTCGCGTACCCGGCTAAACAGTCATTTTTACAACTGACCATATACCCCATAACTTTGAAGGTCTCTCTCTCTCTCTCACACACACACACTGACACACACAGAGCACAAGAGAGAATGAAAGCATCAACGTAGTTTCAGTTATAATATAGTGGAGCAGCAAAAATGATATAGTTTGTCATCCTTTTAACCATGCAATTCTCATATACAAAAATTATCTAAGGTAATGAAAAGTAGCAAATTTGTGCTGATTTTCTGATTTCTTTGCAGTTTGAAGAGGTTGTTTACAAAGTTAAATTGGAAGAGAAAGGATTATGCTGTGGTGGAACATTGAGCTCGACGGAGAAGATGATACTAAATGGGGTGACGGGTACGGTTTGTCCAGGAGAGATACTGGCGATGCTTGGCCCATCGGGCAGTGGAAAAACCACCCTCCTTACAGCCCTAGGAGGCCGACTCAGTGGTAAACTGTCGGGGAAGATCACGTACAATGGTCTACCTTTTTCTGGTTCCATCAAACGGCGAACAGGATTTGTTGCACAATATGATGTTTTATACCCTCATCTCACAGTAACTGAAACCCTCCTATTCACTGCACTGCTAAGGCTACCCAACAGCTTGACCCGAGATGAGAAAGTTGAGCATGTGGAGCGAGTGATCACCGAGTTAGGACTATCTCGGTGCCGGAACAGTATGATAGGGGGGCCACTGTTCAGAGGGATATCAGGTGGGGAGAAGAAGAGGGTGAGCATAGGTCAAGAAATGCTAATCAACCCGAGCTTACTGTTGCTAGATGAGCCCACCTCAGGTTTGGACTCAACCACGGCTCAGCGGATCATTAGCACTGTCAAACGGCTTGCCAGTGGTGGTAAAACTGTGATCACCACTATTCACCAGCCCTCTAGCCGACTCTACCATATGTTTGATAAGATAGTCTTGCTCTCTGAGGGTTGCCCTATCTATTATGGTCCTGCATCAACTGCTTTGGAATACTTTTCCTCCATTGGTTTTTCTACATCCATCACTGTCAATCCGGCTGATCTTCTACTTGATCTTGCTAACGGTAATGTCAAATTTTGTTTCTTATTGTCTTAGCAGAAACCTTGATTTCCTTTTTCATTTTTTGAGAGAGTTAAACTAAAGGGGCCATGTGAGGGGAGGGTGTCCTCTTATTCATCATTTCTTCTACCTTTCTTTTGTTTCCATTCACATGAGAAGATAGCACTGGCCAACGTAAGTGGTGGTTATAATTGTACCTTTATATAAATGCAGTATAATGAGACCCCACCCTCAAACTTCCTTAATTATTGTTCAGTTTGCTACTCAAAATAAAAATTTGTGATCTTAATTCCTCTTTCATTAACCATAATCTTCTATTGAAATTCAAAGAGATATAAACACATGAAAGGAGTTCCACATACCCTGGAATTGGTCTAGTTCAGCTGGAATCTTATGTTTTCTTTATACCGTAGAGGCAACCGTATTTCAAACTTACCACAAATCCACTAAGAAAAGAAAAGAGAATAATAATGCTTAATTGCAGGAATTGGACCAGATTCCAAGCATGTAAGCGAGCAAGGTGATAACACAGAACAAGAGCAGAAGTCAGTGAAGGAAGCCCTAATATCTGCTTATGACAAGAACATCTCTACGAAATTGAAAACTGAGCTATGCAGTTTGGATGTCAATAATTACCTTTACACAAAAGATGCTTCAACAAGTAAGTCCCCTCCCTCCTCTGTTTTAAAGTAACGGTGCCATGATAATCACTAATCAATCTTACTCAGCAAGGCAGTCAACACATTAGTTTCAGATATCTTCCCTTGTTACCCCTTTGCTAAATTCTAGTTAAATTTTAACTGTCTTTTGGTGTTGAAAATATGCAGGAAGGGATTCGAAATCAGAGCAATGGAGCACGAGCTGGTGGCATCAGTTTAAGGTGTTGTTTCTGAGAGGCCTGAGGGAACGGAGGTATGAGGCCTTCAACAAACTAAGAATCTTCCAAGTCATTAGTGTTGCTATACTTGGTGGACTCCTATGGTGGCGCACCCCGACATCCCACATTGAAGACCGTGTAAGAATTTTTGTTATACACATACATTATCGCTATCTAAGAAAGGGAACTTCCATTTATTGATCTTTCAGCTAATTATCATAGTAGGATATTTCCCACACTAGGGTCCTAAAAATGTGACACTTCAATGCAACATTGCACCACATCAACATATTCTGCAATTATCATCAATGATTTCTACATGTATTATAGAATTCATACTTCGACAAATTGAGGGAAGAAAAAGAACTATTAAAAGTTCATGTTTCTGATACAAATGGCACTATAATTTCTAGTTATCAAATCTTAAAACCTTGATTAATTTCTTGTAGATTGTAACCAAGATTTGCTTACTGAATGCAGATTGCCATGCTTTTCTTCTTCTCTGTGTTCTGGGGCTTCTACCCACTCTACAACGCTGTTTTCACTTTCCCCCAGGAGAGAACTATGTTAATAAAGGAGCGATCATCAGGAATGTACCATCTCTCCTCCTACTTTTTAGCAAAAACTGTTGGAGACCTTCCGCTGGAGCTTGCACTCCCAACTGCTTTCACCATCATAATCTATTGGATGGGCGGACTCAAGCCTGATCCCACCACATTTATCCTTTCCCTCCTTGTCGTTCTCTACAATGTCCTTGTCTCCCAAAGTCTTGGCTTAGCCATTGGTGCGATTCTCATGGATGTAAAACAAGCCACTACTTTAGCCTCGGTTACAACTCTCGTCTTCCTCATTGCCGGAGGGTATTATATTCAACAAATCCCTCCCTTCATAGTCTGGTTGAAGTACTTGAGCTATAGCTACTACTGCTACAAGCTTCTTCTTGGGGTTCAGTACAATGAGGATGATTATTACGAGTGCTCAAAAGGAGTCATTTGTCGAGTTGTAGATTTTCCTGCTGTCAAGTCAGTGGGTTTGAACCATATGTGGGTTGATGTGTCTATTATGGCCCTGATGCTAGTGGGTTACCGGCTTGTTGCTTATCTAGCACTGCATCGGGTGCGCTGAAGTAACTTCAACAGAGGCGGCATTTTGTCAAACAATGCAGTTTGAAGAGTTTTCAATTTCTTCAACTGAAGAATAATATTAGGTTTAGATGAAAGCCGTGTCTCTAGATTATAATAATTTCTCCCTAAGAGTTGGATGTACAACCCTTTTGGTAATAGTTTAGATAACACTAACTTGGAATTTTATTTTTCTGTGGAATAAATATTTAAAAATTCCAAACAGATTGAATATGCATAATGATAAAATAAAAAAAAAAGGGGAGAAAAGAACATATTCATTTCCCGTTGCAAGCAAAAGGAAAAATAAACAACGGACCTTGATGCCCACTACTCCTCTGCAGAACTGGATTCTGGATCTGTGTGGGGGCAGTTGAAACTCAGAACTGCAATTAATAAATAAATAGCTTTCTGCAAGTGCATGTTTCAAAAAAAAAAACACACTTGTCATAAAATTGAACAACTAAGAAAACATATGATACTGATACATAAGACGGGCCAAGCACAGAAGAACACACATTTTATTGTTTATTTTTGTTTATGCTTTTACAATAAATAGCTTCCTGCAAGTGCATGTTTCAAAATAAAAAATAAAAAAACACTTGTCCTAAAATTGAACTAAGAAAACATGTGATAGTGATACATAAGACGGGCCAAGCACGGCAGAACACAGGTTTTTATTGTTTTTTTTTGTTTATGCTTTTACAATATGGACAGAGAGATTAGGATTCAGTTTAATATCAACATTCTGGTCAGTTAGCTAGGAGTATTTTGGGGTCAGTGAGGCATCCATGAGCATCTCCATCAGGATTGTGCCATCCATGTGATATTCTCTATCCGAGAATTCTGAAAAAGAATGATCAAGGAGACAATTGAAAAATAGAACAAAAAATTGCACCACAAGTCAATATTCCCATAAAAAATTTACAATTGTCATTACATTACACATAATTTGTTACAGATTGGAATGTTTCTTTTGCATATTGATTAGGCTCAAATGGCAATTCAATTAGAGCTTGTGTAAGCAAATTAAAAGAAGGGGGGAGGGGGGAAGAAGAAAAAGAGAAGAAAAGACAGCCAACAACAAATCTCTGTCACCAATGTCCAAGAAATTTTTTTAACCCATGAGCGGTCTCAGAATTTCCAGAAAAAACACAAAGCTGATGTGAACAGGAGGACCGCATGGTGTGGACACACTAACTGGTGGACCCTTGTGCAAACAACGAGAAATGATGCTAAAGGGTCCACGTTGTTTGCTACATCTGTATAGTAATCTATCGAAAAAAATCCTACTTTCAGTTGGTGCAATCCACGCCATACCTTTCTCTCTAAATTAATAGAAGAGGACAAGAACTGTGTGTACGATATTGTCCTTTCATCTTTACAAGGGCTGTGGTTTTCCTTGGAGTGTAAACAGATATGGCAGCTTCTACAGGCCCAACTAGCTCTGAATGATGAAACCTAAAGAAACCAAGCTGGTAAATTGGAGTTCCCAATTCACATGAGGCCATCTATTAGCCTAAACTACTGAAGCTTGAACACATTTTCAAGACTTAGTCTCTGTTTAAGCCAAGCTTGAGCAATCTGTTTTTGCTATATTATGCTTGGGATAGTTAAGGCAGGTCCATGCAACTATAGCAATATAACACGTGGAAACAGCACAAAAAATGAGAAGACAAGAAATGGACATAAATAAACACCGAAATAAACCATTTGAACTGAGCCTGTTTCTCAGTTTAGTTATTCACAGTTGTAGAAATTGGCTTACTTGGGTCTTTTTATAATGAGAGAGATTTTGAAGTGTCACTTTATCAAAATGAAATCCTAATGTGATATAACTCAATATATTGCTTGAAGTGATCGCGAATTCTTTCCTTTGGGACTTCAGAGGAAATGCTAATAGGAGACTGATTAGAAAGGGAGATGAAAACCTTTAAGTGCTCCAAAAATTTAAAGAAATTCGGCGGATGATTCAACTCTCTCAGAAGACTTCATCCCTCCTTAGTCACAACCAATTACCCAAAACCTATATGTGAAGTCCTTAGTCCTGACCAAATACTTTGTTGGGCAAAAATACAATTCCTTCTGGCCCAAGTAATACACCCAACAAGAACTCTGCATAGTCAAGACGAATACTAGGTAATTCCTAATTACAAAAACCAACTATAGAATAAAAACCTAATTAAATAAGAATTTAAAACAAAAATCCTAACAATTTTCAGAACTCTAGGCGGGACCAACACTAGGCTCTAGCTAATGACCTTACATAGAAAAACCAAATCCGGACCCACTAGACTAGTCAATCTAAGACAACCAAGGTCCGATAATTCTAGAGTTGTGAGATATAAATTTGTAATTGGCAAATTTTGTTGTCAAAACGAGTCCGATCGAATTGTAAATTTTTAATTCGATTTGTCAAGAATCAAGATCAGAAGGGGAATTGAAGAAGTGATCGTGTTCATACTTAGATACTGTGATGTTTCCAATACTTTCCGTTTTTCATTTTTTCGAAATTTTGTTGATGCGAGGGCATTTTTGTCTTTTCATGTTATGCGAAACGGACACTGCGTATTGTGCCGGTTGTGTCCGAAAGTTGTTTGGAGCATTTCATTGAGTCCAGGACTCTTTGAAATGTAAGGGTGATCATTTTTGCATTTTTAGTTTTACGGGCCGGACGGTCCCGTGTTGGACCCGCTACCGGAATTGTTGTATGCAGGTATTTTAGTGGGGTTCAATTGTATCATATTTATTTTTATTTATTATGTTTTGAGTAATTGTAAATTAATTGTGTATACATATATATACGTGGAGTAGAATTAAAAAAAAAAAAAAGAAAAAAAAAAAGGAAAATGAGTGGGACCCACAAGCACTTAAAATGGTCATGAGACCACTTTTGCTTTCACTTTTCTCTCATTTCCCGTAAGGCTTTCTCTCTCTCTCTCTCTCGTTCCAGAAACTTTTTTTTTTTTTTTTTCAATTTTCTTCTCTTGATTTCTCCTACCATACTTAGTGTTTTTGAGTGTTGTTTACGGCTATTCGAAACTCATGGCGAGGCCTACAAGTTGATAGGAGCAATTCCTTGGTTGGTGCACCATAGGAAATTCGAAATCCTAGGGTTTGAGGTGAAGAAATTGGGGGTTTTGACTAAAATTGAGGTAGGGGTCTCTAATTTGCATTTTCTTGTTCCTTAGTGAGTTAATTCTTGTTATTTGATGTCAATATACTTAATTGAAATTAATTACCTCTAGAATGATTTTCTTGTGGGTATAAATTTCATGATTATATGTGTAATTGTTGATTTATATAAAAAGCATGCTTAATTATTAATTTCATTATGTTATTGTGTTGACAAAATTGCTAGAAATGATACTTGGAAGCTTATGGAAATTTCCTTAGAATTATTGTCATGCTTCATTATTGATTTCTTTATATTATTGTGTTGACAAAAATTGCTAGAAATGATATATGGAAGCTTATGGAAATTTTCTTAGAATTGTTGTAAAGCTTGCTTAATTATGGAAGAATTATGGAAATTTCTTATTACCCTAGCATTGGATACATGAGACATACATGCATATCATGGGTCATAAATGATGGAAAATGATTTTGAACAAATGAAAATGGGATTTTTGGAGAGAATTTGATGAAACGGTTTTGAGAAAACCTGGTTGCCGCGGAGTCACCAAAGGGCCGGTATGTTAATATAGCCTAGAGGAAATTAAGGAGATTGCCTTAGCGTGGTTGAGCTATTTAGGCCCCAAATGACGCTGCGGAGGTACCAAAGGTCAGGGACAATAGCCAATCCTTCCTTCGTGTTGTTGCGGAGTCATCAAAGGGCGGGTTATATTAACAGTTTGTGAAATGATGGAAGTTTTCTGAAAATGGGGAGTGATATGCATGACATTGCATTTATGGCACGACATTCATTTGTTTTGAACTTGCAGATTTATATTGTATTTTCCCCGGTTTAGCATGACCCCTCTCCCTATTGTCCTATTCATTATTTGGGTTCACGGGGTCACAAGAAGTGCGTCTTAGGTAGTACCTACTGAGCTTTATGCTTACCCTATTATTTAACATTTTTCAAGACTCGGAAAAGAAGTGGCGGATGACAATCCCCCGCAAGCTTGAAGAAGATTAGGAGTTGTATTTTGTTATTTTTTGTATCTTAGCCCATTTTTTTTTATATAGTCTCAAAACTAGAATGTCATGTATTCATTTTTGCAAGCCAATGTCATGCATTATAAATCATAACTCTTGTTAGTATTTTGAAGGAAAGCGAGACTATGTAAATGCTTAAGTTGAATGGGATGACGATGATGGGTTAACTTGGGGAGGTTGTTGATGTTATGGTATTGGGGAATGTATTATAATTTTTTTTTGTATTGTGTGTTAGGACAGGTTGGATATGCCAAGAAAGGCCATTGCATTGATTTTTTTTTTTTAGCAGGTTATTGTAGGCCTTTTTTTAGCAGAGGTCATGCCGATTTTTTTTTTTTTTTAAATGGTATCGGTTTAGGTTCGTCACAGATACACTTCGGGATGATGAGAATAACGCTTTAGGAAGGTAAGAGAGTGTGTGAGGGCACTTTGGAGGTTTAAAATTAAGCTTTTAGGAAGTTTTACATTTTGCCCAACTAGAATTGATTCAAGTCCCTTGAACAGGTTCAACTTTTGAGGCTTTTTAGTGTTTTTCAAGTCTGGCCAACTTGAATTGAACCGGTTCAAGTGTCAAAGTTGTTTTTCTCAAAAACTCACCAACTTGAATCGGTTCAAGCACCCTGAACTGGTTCAAGGTTTTCAGATCTATTTGGAAACTCTGTTTCCTTATCTGTGTTGACTTCCTATTTTTGATAGACTTTTACCATATTAATTATGCACGAAATTGACTTGTTTTCCAAGTACAATTAGGTTTTCAAAAGTCTATAAATATATGTTTTCTCACTTAAATTTTTAGGGCTTGAAAATATATATTTTTCTAATTAAGAGAATTTTTTAAAGATATTTTTATTCATAAAATCAATCTGATTTTATTTTTGAAAGCACACACATAAACACAAGAGTGATTTAGGAGTAGTGTTCTCTATCTCATTGGAATTGCAGCATAATTGAAGATTCAGAAATTCCGAAAAAACATAATTCATTCATTCTTCATCAAATTCAGAATTGAAGAAAATGGGCGTTTCGATCACACTTTGAAGGGGTAAAAACATTCGTGGAGAGTTATTTGATCTACCAGCAATCCTTCTACAGAGATCAAGAGTAAGCTTAAGGTCGAGAGCTGTTGGACAGGGAGTCGCAAAGTTAGGGATTGTCAACAATTGGTTTTTGGTAGAATGATAGGGTATGAACCTGAGTCAAAGTTTACTTTGCTTCAAACATAATAGATCGTTTTGCTTTGGACAACATAGTCCACGAGGTTTTCCCCATGACGATAGGTAAATTTCCACCAGTCGAGGTTTCCTCGCTAAATTTCCTAGTGTCATCTCTCAAGCTTTATTTACTTACACTTTATTTTTGCTTTGTGGGTTTGATTTTAGTTTTACTTCAGTAAAATTAAAATATGGAAAAATTGGTTTAAATAGCAAGTAAAACCTATTCACCCTTCTAGCTTATTTTTAATACAAATTTCCACATCATATTCCGTTGCACAACTCACAAGAGTGACCTCAACCAATTCACCACTTACCTCAATTAGTCAAGGTTACCACATGCTGGATGAATAGATCGATTAAATCCCTCTGGTCTCCAAAAAAGGCCACTTTGCAGTTTCTTTTGCCAATCAAAATTTCCAGAAAACTTTAGGATCTGATGCCAATTGTGAAGAACCAAGTTTTGGTATCAATTGTTGGATAAAAGTTTTGATACCAATTGTTGTGTCAAGGAATTACATATGCATCGAGATCTAGTCACAAATGATTAATAAAATAACATATGTGCAAGAGAAACAATACATTTAAAGTGGTTTCGCATATTTAAGTCCATGGATTACAATAGATAATACACTATATATTATAGATAAATCATAGTGAGTATAGAATACAGCGACACCAAATCCTCAATACCAATACCCGAATCTTGAAACAGTCCTTAATTGCCTCCTTAATGTATCTGAGCTTCCCGTTTCCAGCATAGTCCAGGTGTGTAAGCCTTAATGCAATCCCTACTTTCTTGCTCAGTGTTCTTTCATATCTTACTCATATTTCTACAAATCACCCTTCTTTGTCGTGAGTCTACTCTCTGACACTAAATTTATTTCAATAATCTCAACTAATAACTTAGGTATCTCTTTATAGTCTTAGCCCAAGTTCTTTGTTGAACAGGAAATACCTTATGACTTAAATAATGCACCTAAAAAGAACATTTCCATACAAAATAACTCTAAAATAGGTTTGACCTATTTAAAATAGAAATTCTAGACATAGTTTCCACGACATTACCAAGTGTTGGTCCTAAAAGTATGTAACGAGATGGACTAACTGAAGACCTAGTCTTCGACATTGTTCATAAAAGTAATTGTCCTCAAATCAAAACATGCCATCTCACTCTTAGTTGTCTAGCCTTAATATCATTGCAACATAAAAAAAAAAAAAAATTCCACTTAGAAGGAATATGACCCCCTTTTATAAAAAAAAAAAAAAAAAATCAAGAACAAGGACCATAAACCTTCCCCCATCATTCATCATCAAAGCACAATAACCATCTAATCACCAAGTCACGATAACTAATCACTTACACAGAATCATTTCAGGATATTCCTTTAATCAAAGATCATGCACGAATGATTGAATCAAAGAGTCTGGTCTTCTAAGGGTCAGGATACTTTGCTAGATATCGTTTTGTGTACCACTGTTTGGTCTCTATAGAGACAAAGGAATAAGAGGAACCAGATGATGTGATGTGGAGATCAAGGAAATGCAATCTGGAATCACCAACTATAAAATGTGTGGTGCTTCTATAAAGCCAAAGCTTAAGGGGCAGACTATCTCTGATTTTCATGAATATTGGTTTCCCATTTTCGGTTAACCTAAGCTTCTTATTGAATTTCAGTTCTTACATTGTAGACATCATGCATAGCCTGTACATTCTTAGTCCTTCTTTTTGTCTAGTCTTACATAAAAATGCTTCTAGATGAGGGCCAAACGGAATAGACCCACAACTAACCAACAAGATCAACAAGGCCAGATAGAATGGATGATCTAGGTCAGGACCAAATTGAAAATCTTATTTATCAAGTACCTTGTAATATATGATTATACGTGAAGCCATTGAAGTGCCAATTCAATATTTTTCAAGAATCTTCGTAGAATTAATGTGAAATTCTCCGGCCACAACGCTATATTACTTGACCAAATTTTATCAAACAGACAACTGCAAAACCACGCATCATAAAACATAACAATATTTCAGAAGGGCCGGTGGCCATCCCTCCCCTTCTCGTTGGTTACCTCCACCTGAGAGTATTATTAAATGTAATGTGGATGCTTCCTTTTATTGGTTACTCAAATTAGGGATGGTGGTGCTATTTTTCGGGATTCTAGGGGAGCTATTTTACATGCAGTGCTTTTTTCCCCTTTTCCGGCTTCGACTGCTACTCTGGCTGAGGTTATGTGTTTGCATAAAGCGGTTCTTTGGGCCTCAACTTTGTCTTATGACAAGTGCTGGTTCGAGTGTGATTCTTTGTTGGTGGTCCAGGCAGTTGATGGCGATGATTGTGGTCCGGTTGAGCTTCATTCAGTCTCGTTTGACATTCGAGTGGCATTTCGACCATTCTTTTATTCTCGATATTGCCATGTACTTAGGCATGGTAATGAGGTCGCTCATGCTCTTGCTAAGTTGCCCCGTCAGCACATTCTCAAGGATACTGCACTAATTTTTGTTCCTACTGATATTTTTGTTATTACAGCTAAAGATTGTATATCTGACTAAGCTTTTGTAGTGGTGGTTTTTCCTTCTTTAGTGGGCACTTTTTCTTTGGATTGTCAAGACTGCTGATCTTAATTATAAGAGGTGTAGTTAATTTCGGGATGATTTTGTGTATGTTGGTGTTTATTGTATTTTGGTCTTATGCCTGTGATTGATGTTCTTATATGACATAAAAAAACATTTGTTGGACCATTTATCAAACAGTTATGGTGTAGAATAAGATGTGACACTTTCTGCAATATACTCGCACTCGATCAGGCACTGAAACTCATACAGAAATATTGCCTAGATCATTCAACACCAAATGGCAAAATAATAATAATAATAAGGGTTAATTACAACGGCACCCCCTAAGGTTTGACATGATAACAGCTATATATAAGTTGGGTCATTTTTGAACGATGACACCCTTTCAGGTTTAATAAAATTTACAAAGACACCCCAATAGTCCTTAGACACGGTGAATTGACATTATTGCCCCTTGACACATTCAATTACTAATAAACCAATAGCCACCACACCTCGACCTGTTGACACCCACCGCTACCATTTCACAACCTTTACCATAACCACCACCGCTACCACCACCCACCAGTCGCAACCATCGCAACTACTACCCACCAATACTGCCCACCCCTTTCTTTCTCTCTCTCCACCCACCACTGCAACCTTTGCCACCACAACCAAATCCCATTAATTGAACCCATGAAAAGATCACAAAAATCCAGCCAATTGAACCCATGAAAAACCAAAACCCAGCCAATTGAACCCAGGAAAAAACCCACAAAAAATCCTAATTGAACCCACCATTACCATCGCCGTTACTATTGGTTTCCGTCAACGACTCTTGAGATCGCATCCAACTCTGACGAGTCAGCCATTGAACCTGGCCGTATCACCGCCGAGTTAGACGCGGTTGACGAAACCTCGAGTTTCCAGTGGTTCGAGACGACCCGATAAAGCTTCTTTTCTTCAACAACGGTGGCGATCGAGACTTCCTTAACGCGTTGACGCTTCGGATCGGGGAGCTAATCGGCGATTCCCGGAGACGGCTCGCCGTTGCGGACGTCGGCGTTGACGCTTTGGATCGGGGAGCTAATCGGCGATTCCCGGAGACGGCTCGCCGTTGCGAACGTCGGCCAGTAATTTTGACTGCTAGAGAGAGAGATTGGGTTGAAGAAGGAGAGGAGGAATAGATGTTTGTGGTTCAAGAATCAATGTGCAGGAGATGACAGAACATAGTTGTGAAGTAAGAAATTTTGATAACCTTGCTGTTGGTGGGTTTATATGCTTACAATATATATATATATATATATATGATCGATTTTCTATGTTGGTTTCTTTGGTTATGTACTTACAGTGACTTGGAGATAAAAATGTATTTTTTTTCTAAAAATATATACGTGGAAAAATAATTTTCCACCTACAAATTCTGTTGTAGCACAAAATAAGATAATAAATTGGCTGAATCTCAATAGCAGAATTGAGGATTGCAGAACTCAGTAGAAAGATTTGGCCGGAAAGAAACCATTTATGAGTTTTAAAACCACAAACCTTGCCTTTCAGAGGGTCTGGTCTATGTTTGTAATGGGCTCTGCCAAGGTCGTTGATATTATTTCTCGAACGACTATAGTTTTTCTAGTTTTAGGTTCATGCATTTCTTACCAAAAAAAAATGTTAAATTTAGTGCATCTAACTCTTCTTTTGTTATTTATCGTCGTTAGAAAATATCTCAAGATGTGAAGATGGAACTCTTGTGTGTCTATTAAGCAACAATTAGAGATAATTGGCTTCCTTCGATCCAAAATCCACAAAATTCGAGCGTGAATCTTATTGGGAGAGGCAGAGAAGCTTCAGATTTTTATTTTTTATTTTATTATTATTATTATTTTTTTCCGACAGTGAAGAGGAATGCGTCATCAATTACAAGTCATGTTATCAAGGGGAGCAACTCAAACCAACCTCTCTTCTTTTCTTTTTTTTTTCGACAGTGACGAGGAATTACAAAGAGAGCAACTTAAACCAACTTTAACCTTGAAAAGTTAGTGGTTTATAAGATACAGATCGCTTATATGTGTCTTTTTTTTGGTTTAATATTTATTTTTTTATTTATAAAAACCAGGTGACGGGTAAAGTTTGAACAAAAAATCTTTAACTTTAATACCAGATATGAAAAGTATATATATATATATATATATATATATATATATATATGAAGTTATGTATATTGTATTAAGTAAATACATGTATAACAATACATACATGAGTCTTTATATAAAGAAGAGGAGGTTTGGGCTAGGTGAGGCGGGTAAAGCCCAAGTTATTTATACATATAATAAGTGGGTAGACGTATAAAGTGTGATGTTAAAGAAATCCTAACACTGTGTTTGGAACTTTGGGATTTGATAAGAAATGAAATTTAAAAATAATTTCAGTTGTTTAGAATGATGGGAGTTTAAAAGGGAAAGGATTTGAAGGGAAGAAAAATTGGTGGGGTAGAGAAATTCGAGAAAAAATAATATGATTTGATGGCATTTGAAATATAATTACAACATTATCCTTTTTTTAACTGTTTACTAGTCTCTAATTCTAAAAACCTCCTTTCCCACCAAATTGGTACAAAGCTCATTTTATATCAACTTCCTTTTTACAAATTCCAAATTTTTCCAAACACTAAAATAGAATTTTATTTAAGTACAGTTCAATTCCTTTTCCATTTCCAATTTCAAATCCCAAAGGAATTTGATTCCAAACAAAGCCCAGAGAAAAAGAAAATTAAATTAACTTTAGAACATTGCAATGTAAGTTGGAATGAATTGGATCCATTCTCAATGACAGGTTATGGAAGGAAGGGGAAAAGGAAATTTATATTCTTTTAGCTGTACAATTGCTGTTGGAATATTGATTGGGGTCTTGCTTACTCTCTTGCCCATTGGCTGTTTAAGGTGACTTAGAAGTAATAAATTAGATATTTACTGTTTTCAAAATGAACTAATTTATTAAGAATTTGTGATTTAGTGATATTTTTTTTTACTTTTTAAAGTGAATGATAAGTATTCAAATTTTCAAAAGAGCAAAATGAAGTGTACGAGTGGGCGTGTATTTCTTGCCCATTAAAAAAAAAAAAAAAAAAAAAAACACTCATTTTGATGTATGATGCTTATTGAGTATACACACGCATGATTCGGTACCAAAAAAATTATTTAACATAATTATTCATAGCCTGTTAATGGGGTATAGAAGTGTTCAAATACTTCTCACTTTTTTCCCCCTAATTATACGAGTACTTCTCATTTTTCACAAGTGCATTTGCAAGTTATTGTTAATAGTATTATTTAACTAAACATCATATGGTTAATAGAGATGTTCATGACAAGTATCTCAAAAGTTTCCTCATTTGGTGGAATATATTAGAAAAGATCGTCCCCAGATGTTGCAATAAATTGAAATTACTTACTTTTTATTTCACTGAAGTATTTTTTAATAATAACTTTGACCCTACAAAATTAATTAAAAAATAAACTTTTTTTTTTAATTAAAGAATGACTAGCCTTTTGAGTATATCGTGCAACAATCAAATGTGCTTATGGAATATTCGCTGGAAGCAAGTTTTAAAGATGAGAAAAAAAGGGGATAAACATCTCATGACATCAATTTTGTTACTCATATAACTCCTACAAGGAAAAAAAAAAAAAAACATTGAAATGAAACAAAATAGAGCAAACCCATCTTATTTCATGCTTCAAACAAACAAAAATCTAATTCCATAAAACAAAAAAAAAACAAAACAAAAAAACTGTAAAAATATATTCGTAGAAATATAGTTGTTTATTTGAGTAATCTAATATTTAGTTTCTTCAAAGAGGTAATGTAGACGAAAGTTGTTATTTTTTTATTTTTTATTTTATATTAAAAAACAAACGGAACAACTTTTTAAAGTATCAAAGATTTTGTGGACCAATAATATTTTATTTATCTCTCAAAATAAAAGGTGTGTAATATACGGGAGTTTATTACCAAGCAGGCTATACTCATTTAATGAGAGATACGAGGGTTTTTTTCGTAATTGGAATAAACGATACGTAGATATTTTCGTGTACCTTGAGAATCGCACAGCGGTGGGTCCAGAATGTGGGGTCCACCTAACCTGACAGATGGCTCACGCGACCCGTGTATTCTCCATCCATCTTCTGCTCTTTTATCTCGAACGCGCTCCGATCGACTGATCGTGGGACTGAGACATTTCCGGCGCATATTTCCGGTCACCGGCGTCCGTGCACATCGCAGTCTTCATCCATCAGAGAGTTTTTTTGCATCAGATCTAAGGTCGAGCCATAATGACAGTTTCAGACGACGAAGACGAGAGTCTCGCTCAGTTCCTCGAATCTGAGGTTCTCTCCGAGGTCTCAGATCAGGTTTTTGATTAAATTCCCCTCCATGATGCAAAATTTTATCTTTTAACATCAAGCGCATTAATTTTGTCGTTTGAAATCCCTAATTTCAGTATGTTTATGTATGCATGGAATTGGATCGATTGATTTTGGCTTGGAATCAATTTCAGGAAGAGAAGAAGACGGAAGAAGTAGAGGAGGAGATGGAGCCACAATCGAAGAGATTGCGTAAGGAGGGCGACCACGATGATGGAAAATCAATCATATTATCATCGTCATCACCATCACCATCACCAATTCAATTTCAAATTCCTTCCCCCTCGAAGAGTAAGATGATCATTAGCAGTTCCAGTAACAGTGGCGAGAGTCTGAACAACAACTCAACATCGAGGAGGATAGAAACGGGTTGTTTTAGCAAGGTTCCTCCTGAACTCTTCCATCACATCCTCAAATTCCTCTCCTCAGAGGTACTTTCGTCTCTTCTTATTCGGTTTATATATATATGTGCGCGCGCGCATGTGTGTATATATGGGATTAAAGTACGAATCTTTTGTTCATACTTGTGGTTTATACAGATTCTTCTGTGTATCTACTAATTTATAAATTTGGGATTAACCACGTCTACGGGAAGGAGTAGGTGTTCTCTTAACTGGTGGTTAATTTTACTATGGTGCTAATGCAGGATCTTGTTACATGCTCACTGGTCTGTAGATTCCTCAACTATGTTGCCTCTGATGAATCCTTATGGCGTCGCCTGTGAGTGTATTCTTTTTTTGTGTGCGTCTTTTGCGTGTTATCTCATTTTAAATATATGATGGGTTTTGCTACCAGCATCTATAAGTTTATGATGTCTCCGAATGAAGTCCAATACAAATGGTTCTCACTGTTATTAAAAGTTTTTATTTATTTATTGACTCTTTGTTTGTTCAGATTAAATGATCTGTCGTTTGTTGATTTCCATGAATTTTGGCTTATTTCAGTTGTTAATTTGAAAAGTCCACTTTATAAATACTGTATATATTTGGATGTAATAACGTCTCCACACCCAAAAAATATATATATATATTAATAAATAAAAAAATTGGAAAAAAAAAAAAAAAAAAAAAAAAAAAAAAAGAACCTCAAGGGATTTGTTATGTGAACAAGACTCAGTTCATATCTCAGTTCATAAAGAGATGATATGTTGTGCTCTTATGCAAGGAGCATCATGTGCTGTTTTTGTCTTGTTGAGTGCTAATGGGAAGAATAAAAGGCAGGGTTTTATGTGTACGAGAGAGATCGATATATAAGATTTGCTACTGGAGTTCGACTTAGCCGAACATATTGCAATCAACATCGAGATATAGAAGGCCACTGCAATCAACATTGAGATAAGAATTGGAATGAGTAGCATAATCTATCATTTCATACTCGAATACCTTGGCCTTCTTTTGACGTACTTTTACATTATTATGGTCTTTATTCTCTTTTTAAATTTGGTTTTAGTAGTCATTGATGCTATCCTAGTAGGCTTAACGGATCCTCAATGCTGTTTCTTCTCTTTACTGGACTTGCATGTACTTTTGTATGCATGGTAGGTTGTTTAGCTGATATTTAGCATGTAGAATGGCATTTTTCACCGAGGCATCGTGTGAATCTTGTTATAGATGATCTAAATTCTCATGTTTCACTGCGTCTTGGGAACCTGTCTGCATTAAAAAATGTTTACACATCATGGTGAGCCTTATAAATTTCCTTTTAAATTAGCCTTGCCAGCATTTGACATAATGTTGAAAATGGCGATACAGATGAGTATTATATGCTGCTCATGTTCTTATATGCTTTATCGTCCTGGCAGTCAACTAAAAATAGTTGGATATAATACTTGCTTTAGTTCTTTTGTGCCTTTTTTTGCATGCTTATATTTAGAAAGACATTTCTACGCTTGTCAATAATCGATATTAAAATTTTATGTAGGTACTGCATGCGATGGGGTCTGCTTCCCCCAACCAAAAAGTTGAGGGAGTCTGCTTGGAAAAAACTTTACATTCAGGTATTTCTAGATTTAGGTGTTGTTTGATTATCCAATTCAGCGCTTAATTCTGAATGGATTAAGTGCTTATCAAATTAAGTGCGTTTGATAACAAAATTTGAATATCACTTAAACGGTAAGCGTCACTTAAAATGAGATAAATTTTAAGTGATTGGTACATCACTTATCACTGAATGAACACTGAAAATTTAAAAAAATATCAAAAAATATTTATTTTTTATTTACCACTTAAAAACTTAAGCACTTAAAATTTAGTCCTTAAAATTTTCAGTACTTAATTTTCAGTTTTATCAAACAGCACCTTAATTTTAATGTGATGTTATTTAGCATATAGCAACTATATAAAGGGCTACAACAACAACAATAAAAAGCAAAACAATTTTCAAACTACCTGGGGTCGGCTACACGAATCTTATATTTCCATTCTCCAATTTCTCCTTCATTGTGAATAGTTGAGCCTAAAATATTCACTTTTTTGTCTCTTGATCTTCAATCTCACTATGTCCATATTGGTTTTTATAGCTTAACTAATATTGGTTTTTATATATTCAGTTTTATTCCTATTTATCTTAAATCTTTTTAATTCTAGAATATTCGTCCAAACCTCTAATTTATCAGTTATCCCTTCTCTAGCTTCATCAAATAAAGCAATATCATCAGCAAATAACATACACCATGGATCTAATCCGGAACTTATGCTCACCCTTGATGCAAGCCTACTATAATTGGAAATTAACAACTTATTTATGGCTAATGATACCAAAATCAGGCATTTCATTTTTCTTTCAATGAAAGGAGGATTAATCATAACATCGTAGATTTTGAACTTGATAATCTTAATTGCCAGTAATTGTATAAGTTTATTTGGAACAATGGAATTAGTTGGACTATCTGTTTCTAGGATATCATAGGATTATCTATAATTCCTTTATTGATAAAGCTAGATTTGATCAAGATTAAACATCAGTTTACAAGCTATATTTTCTTCTGGCAGCGTGATGAAGAGGACATGGTTGAATTTGTTAGGAATTGCCCTTCCGAGTTCAAAGACTATTACATTCAAATGCAGGCAGCAAAGAGAAGCCAAACGCCCCTTCCATCACAGGTAAACTGAGGTTCGTGTTGCTTGAATTTTTTTGCTTCTTTGTTTATTTAATTAGGGAGAGATTAGGCTGTTCAACATATTTTCTGTAATGTGCAGATCTATTGACGTTGGTTTTTCCTTTATTTATGATATATGCTTTGGAATGTTGGGCTTTTTCACAGTATCTACTATCAAATTTTTCACGAACACTTGAGGTGTTCTTACTTTTTTTTTAAAAGGAAGGGGAGGGAAGAAATTCCATTTAAAATGAGATAGTCAACCCACCCTTCCTCTCTCTCTCTCTCTCTCTCTCTCTCTCTCTCTCTCTCTCACACACACACACACACACACACACACACACACACATCAAGAGTGAAGAATAGTGTTGGATTTATTTATTAATTATTAATTTTTGTTTTTTTAGATCTGCTTTCTCTTCATATTTGGTCTTACAAAGATCAATGACTATTTTTATAGAATCACTTACCTTTTTAATGTATGCTATTTGGTTTAAAGTTGCCTTCTGTCACACCATGTTCTCAAAATACTGGTTTTATCTCAAAATACTGGTTCTCAAAATACTGGTTTTATTTTATACTGAAATTTTAGTTTTGTTTGTGTGTGCAAGTGCTTAATGCATGTGTAGAGGGTGTTGCATGCATGCATGCACATATTCTTTTTTGCATGATACAGGTGCATGGATGTGCTCCGTGTGCTTGTGCAGGTGAATGCATATCATGCACACGTGCACACCTGCTTTATTGTTTGACTGTATGACATTACGGAATTGATGACCTGCTCAACCTTTAGTTCTAGGATATCTTAGGTGGGATTGTTGTCAGTGGATTAGCCATGCTTGAGAGGATGATTTGTTTTATGAGTTTCACTAACAAGAATAGGTGGCAACCTTTAATTCTTATTCATGCCTTTCTATCTTACGTGTGAAGGTGAATGATGACCGAATAATTCTTGACAAGACTGTTGGTGATCAAGTTTCTATATGGAAAAGGAGTAGAGGCCTGGCTGATAAGGTGGTCTCTGACCATAATTGCTCTGGGGAAACATGTTCTTACTATCAAATTGGAGACGTGTTTGTTTGTGAGGAGACTGGGCATGTTCATGGTATGACCATCATGGTTTTTGATCAAGAAACCTTGCTTGTTGTAGAACAATATATATATATATATATATATATATATATATATATATGAATAAGAAGCTTACTAGTTCTTCTGTGCAGTTTGTGATGATACATGCAGAGAAGTTATTTTGGACCCAACAAATGAGCTTTTGGTTTGCACGATTTCTGGGCATTGTTTTGATAGATTACTGTCACCAGCTGAAATGGAACCAGACCCTGTAAGAATATTCTTCTATAGCTTACTTTTTTCACTTGTCATAGAGCACAATTTGCCTTGGGAGTTGCAAGACCTCTCTTGCCCACCATATAATGTGATTTCTTCAATTGGCTCCATAAATAGCCTAATGGTATCTTCTTCTTCTTCTTTTTTTTTTTTAACTCATCTTTAGTATTTATATAATGTTTTAGAACAGTGTAGGCTGGAATCTACTAATATCGACTGTGTTGCCCATAATCCTTCATGGATCTTATCAAAAAGTAGGGCACATGGTATATTAAATCAAAGTAGCCATGCCAAGGAAATAAGTGGATAGCAAAAAAGATAAGATCGCACATCTAAATAATTGGGATGCAAAATTGTTGCCAAAGATTTACACCATCTGTTGTTTCTATTTTTTTCAGCATTTTATGTAGAACCAGAAAATTCTGTATCCTTATCATTTTCTTTTGTCTTAAGGGAGAGAGGTCAGTTCATTTGGGAACTATATTTGTAAAACTGTGTTATGTTTCTTTTGCATTCACACCATGTAATCTGATTGTCTCACATAGCATTAGATCACAACTTTTGAGTTACACAACTTCATATTATTGGATCACTTCATACTGGAAACTTCAGTTCACACACTTCATTTCCTAGGTGGCCAAGTTAAGTTGTTCAGTCCAATTCTGTAAATCTGATATGCATACCTTCATAGCGAACTATCTTTCATGTCCATTACAGGTAGTGAAAAAGTACGTTTATGTGGATTATATCTATATTCTTCCATCACAATTCAACTCGAAAAAGCCTTGTTGCAACTATTTGGATCAGCAGCATGAAATTTTATTTTTTTTTTTGGCCATTTTCCTCATTCTGGGATCCTAATTCAAGTCGAACCCTACACTACCATATCTTCTCTTGTTAGTTTTGGACCTTTGGTCTTCTCTTTTCCCTAATACCTTCAATGTAAACTGTGTTTGCTCCTCCTCACTGGTCACATATTGATCTTTATTATGTATGGCCAAACTATCTTGGTCCATTTTCTCTTATATATAATATCTCCGATACATTTCCACTATCTTATGAATGTGATGAATGTGTTCATTTCTAGTTCTCCCTCTTATCAAAGCAATTGAAAGAAGGTTGTCCTTTGATCTTTATCACTTGTCCATTTGTAGATTTGGCATTGCTCAGTTTTGTTCCATAAAATTTCCCCCATGTATATATAGTATTTATTTATTTATTGTTCTTTTTCAAGTAACCAGATCATTGTTCCTTTTGGAACATATAATAATAAATAAATTGATGGAATAACTAAAAATTTTAGTAGGCCATTAACTAATTTTAGTAAAGAAATTTTTGAGGAACTGATTTGGTTCAGTGGCAGATAACTAGTTATTTCAGTTTACATGCACTGATATCTTTCAATAAAGTCGCTATTAATTTTTTTTTCCTTGGTAGGTAAATCATACATGCACACGCTCATTTGTCTCATTGGGTCTCAACCTTCCAGTTGGAAGGAGGAGGAGATACCACATATAATATGGTTATTTCACAGAGAAGTTGAGAGAATTAGTGCTTTTATGGAAGTATTTCTTTGAGAAAAGTAGGATGAGAATTGATCTCAACTATTCTGTTGAACTATCAATTGTGCCTCCTATGAGTATTCATTATCACGATGATGACTATATTTTCTTATGATATTTCCACCCACTTGATTGCTCCTGTCAGGCAGGGCAGGTTTGTTTTGTAGTCTGGCTGGATTTAATCTTTTTCCTTTTCTTTTTGGGATGGAAATTCAGGAACAGCAGCAAGGTGGTGGTTCAGATGAAGCGGAGCCATTCATGGGATCTGGCCGTTTTGGTATAGTTTTTTTTCTTCTTGTCTCTTCCGTATATATGTTTTTGATGCACACAAATCATTTGTATTTATCTCGTGTTTGTTGCAGCGCGAGCTTACCTGTTAGGATACAACTGTGCTGATGAGAAGGAGCTTGAAGCTGCTTTGAGGTTTTGCTGATGGAAATTTGCCTCTTAGGTGGATGTTATGGCCTTTGGAGAAATGTTGTAGTTTACTATTTAGAAGTGTATGTCTTAATGATGTAGTACTATTTATAGAACCATGAAATAGTCACTTGCAAGTTTGGGAAAATGTTCTGGTTGCTTTCCCTATTGAGCCTTTTTTTATTGTTATTTAAGTATAATGGTCTTCCCAATTTCAATTCTTTTGCCTTGCTGCTTCACACTGAAGCTGGATCACAACATCGGCGGGACACAATCAATGTACATTTGTTCAGATGGAATGATCTCTCTTCTATAAAGGGGAGGTTGAGTATTCGAGTCCTGTTAGGAGTAATATTATGGATGTGTGCATTTGTTTGAACTTTTAGAAGGGGGGTTTGAACTTTTAGAAGGGGGTAGTGGGCACATCTATTGAATTGATAGTTAATATTGCTGAATATTGAAATCTTCACTAGATTTGATGTCTTGTTTATTTTGATTCACATGCTCCAACTGATATGCATGGCGATGGGTTATTGTATATAAAGCTGCTACCCAATGTGGTCTTGTTGAACATTTAATCTGTGTCAGAATTTATATAACTTTATTGTCTTCAGACTTGAACATGCTTCTAAGTGGTACAGTGCTTTCACTTCTTAGCATGGTTGGACTATACGTGGATCTTTTTTCAAATTTGATACGATACGTTTATACTGACGTTGTTCGAGTTCGTTACATTGCAATTGTGATCATTGTAGTAAGATGTTAGTGTACGTTGTTTGAGTTTGTTACACTGCGATTGTGCGATGCTAGTGTACGTTGTTTGAGTTTGTTACACTGCGATTGTGCGAGTTTGTTACACTGTGATTGTGATGGATATTGCGAATTATGCTTGTTAGTGAGGCTTCATTTTATTTTATTTTATTTATTTATTTCTTAGTGAAGAAGTTTCATTAATCAAACTATTTTTTGGAATAGGGTAGCACAAATGACAGATTAGATGAAATATTGTCGACGAGGCCCGAGGGTATAGACAAATAATATTGGTTTTGTATTTTTGTAAATCTGATTGTTTATGTCGGCAAAATGATTGACTTGGCTATTTTTAACGTTAGGATATGCAGGCATTACAATTAACAAATGTAGTGAAATGACGTGAGACTACCTACTTACATATGTCAACCCCAACAAAAAGTCATCGTGGAAGCAGGGCATAAAATAGTTTGAAATTAAAATTACTCAAAGATTTACTCATAAAAAATATGATAGCTCCCAAAGATTTTGAAAATTCCTATTTAATATGGCCCTGTAAGAGTATCTTTTAAGAGTAAAGATTACTTCTCCATAACCTTTGAACAAACATAATGTAATTTAAAAAAGTAGTCCAAATTTTTTTGTGTAAATATACTACTATGACACATTAAATTTACACAAATATATATATATATATATATATAGACAACCAAAAAATATAAACAACCATTAGAGATGTTCTAAAGAACTAAAATTAAAATATATTAAAAAGATTTACTTACCAAGACAAAAAAATTACATTAAAAAATAACCCTCACAAAAGTCAAAAACTGATAAATAATCTCAATTTGGGATCTTTTAAGCTTCATTTTTAGAAATTTACAAATATAACCGAATATCATAATTTTCTTCTTATCCTTGTTTTACTATTTTTGAATATTAGACTTTCCTTTTCATCCTTTTTTCCATCTCTCCAAGTTGGAACTTTAATTTTGTGATTATGAATTTTGTAAAAAAAAAAAACAAAAAATTGATTTGAAATTCACAAGTCTTCTTTTAACTGCAATGTTAAATAATTTCTTACTAATTGATTTTTTTAATCAATTTATAAACTTTATTTCTTAAATAATTAGTGTAAGAAACTTATTCAAACTTTTTTCAAATAAATGATGTACCAATGTGTGGAGAATAAAATTTGAAAAAAATATCATCGTGGTTGTTTTAAGAGAGAATTGAAATTTAGAGTATAAACAGTAATTAATTGAAAATAAAAAAAGAGTTATAGATTCAATAGATTTTTAATTCTTATATGTAAATATATATTAAAAAGTGATGTAATTAAATAAAAAGAAAAAAAATGTAAAAAAAAAAGGAAAAATATATATATATAAAAAGGAGGGTTTGGAAATTTGGATGGATAAGCTTTCAAGGTGGGGAAACTTTTTGAAAGACGGCCCACGACAATTCACAATCCACCCGCTCTCTAATGCTTACACGCGTCTAATACGCGTTAAGCCGCCGCGTGGAATCGAATCCGTAGTAAAGTTTATATATTATATACACTATATATGTATGTGTCCTCTCTCTTTCTTTACTGGTCTTCTAAGTTCTGACAATTTCCTTGCCAAAGCAGTCGAATATTTTGTAAGCTCTCTCCCCGTTCTTGCTGATATTTATCGAAACCATGACTTTGATATTTTTCATAACCATGACTTTGATGATGAAGTTTTACTATTCATATTTGTAATGAACAACTTTTTATTCCCTTCTCTGACGATATTTCTCAAATATCTAATGAACGAGTCCATTCATCTTTTTCCATAAGTAATTCGGATCTTGCATTCTGGTAGCTTGTCAGCAACTTCTTTTTAGTTGGTGGTAATGAATTTTACTTTGTGTTTGGTTGTTGGTGTTTGGTTGTTGGGAATTTAGAAGAAAACGAGAAAATTTGTGAATTGGAAATCTAGCAACCCCAAGTTGATTTCTAGGGTTGTATTTGTATTGTTCGCATGAACAGAGTCCTCAAGTGTACAGTTGCTACATGATGTTTGTGGGCTTTAACCGATGAATCGGTCCTATGTTCCCAATTGGAGTTCAGATCCTTCCACCCAAGGACTCAGATCTTCTTGGTCTTTGAATTGCATATGCTAGAGTGTCGCATTCATTTAACTGTTTTATTTGTTTTTATTGGCAAGCTTCGATTTGAAGTTATCATGATTGTGATTCTCATGATAGAGAAGTTGATTGATTTAATCCATCTACACCTTAAATCATTTTTCAACTGTTGAGACTCCATACTTGTTTTGAATCTCTCCTTGATTAGACCAAACTCCTAAAAATAATTACCTGGAACATGATATTTTATGTGATTTAGCTGATCCTTTACATACACAGATAATATAACCCACTATATATTTTACTGTGTGGGTATAAGTTAGAGAGTACACAACACACAAAACCGACTCTTTGAAGCACTCCATTTTTTACTTGTTAGTTGTGTTTGATTTAAGGTTCCGACTTAGCAAAGAAGGAAGCTTCCTCAACCCCAAACTCGACCCATCTCTTTCCAGCCACATCTTTCTGTTGTTTTCTTAGCACTGTTTTTACTGTTCACTATTGTTGGTCATATTGCAAGAATATGGTGCAGGCAGCTTTTTATAATTGTTCTTATCATGGGACATTAGTTTTACTCTGTTTTACCATTAGGAGCCAGAGCCGGTTGGGAAAAAATATTTAATCAATAGTAATCACTGCATATAATGTCTGCTTTCTATGTCACGTCCTTGTCGCTTTGACTTGATAGAATGTTGCTTTAAACTATATGTATGTCCATATAATGCAGCAGCTTATGGACTATGAAATTTTGATTTGTGCAACAGGAGATAAAATTATTTTTCTAGTTTAGGGTAATTACTACAATATCTTTAATGTGCAGTTTGTTCATTGAGCCATCTATATGCCTCCTGCTTCCCTTTTCATTTCTCCCACCCTTCAAATCTTTACTTTATTTAATTTATTCAGTGTCCTACTTCCCTGTTAGATTCAAATCTATTAGCTTCACCTTGTATAGGGTAAGGTTATTGCTCAGTAAGTTCATTGCAGCTAGTGGGTTGGCTGAAATCTATTCAACCTGGACCCTGTCATATAATTATCGATTGACATTCTCATTTAAAAGGTTCAGAATATGTGTTTTTCTGATTCAACTGTTTTGCTAAAGGGGTTGCCAAAAACCCTTTCTTGACGGGGCTATTGGGCTTGGATTATATTTCTCTACCATCAGTATCATCCTAAATGTTACTTTAAAATTGTTTGACATAACTAGTGAAATCATGGTATGGAGTATAGAAAGCATCATAAGGTGTAGTTTAATTCTCTTACATTCTTTGATCGATCAATCTGATATTCCTTTTATATATACGTCCAATGTCTCACAGGTATCATTAGTTGTGTGCGGAAGAAAACATGGGGGGTGGAAAGGACAAGCATGACGATTCTGACAAAGGGCTTTTCTCGCATCTCGCTCATGGTGCCGCTAGTCTTGCTCATGGCCAGCACGGGTATCCTCCTGGACAATACCCTCCACCACCTGGAGCATATCCTCAGCAAGGCTATCCACCAGCAGGATATCCTCAGCAAGGATATCCTCCGCAAGGCGGCTATCCACCAGCAGGCTATCCTCAGCAAGGCTATCCACCAGCCGGATATCCTGGTTCATCTGCTCCACATCATGGAGGTATGCTTACCAAATTGTTTTATATTTCCAATCGTGTCTGAAATTAACTGCTGAATGATTAGTGAGTTGTCCTTCTTCCGAGTGCTTTCTATGCGATGTTTCCATGAAAGATGTTAGTGTAGCATGACAGATTGATATGCGTATCCCATTTTTTGACAGAAATGGTAACATATAATTGAAATAGATAAACACCTTGGTCTTATATTTGCCTAGATTCACCTTTCTTTCTGCTCTTTAGCCTTGGTAGTCTTAAGCTGAATGGAATCATGGCGTTTAGAATTGCCTTGGCTAATTGGTATGAGTTGTTGACACGGACATAAGCGTTGCTTTCCGACACAAGCATGCTGTGTCAGATGCATCAACTCCTCGAAGTCTAGACGTGGAAATGTTGCTATTTGTGTGTGCGCAAAATTTACTAGATTTGACATGTATGTTTATATGTCTTCTAGATGTGTATAACCACGAAAAAAAATCATAGAGGGTTAAACAGTAGCAACCATGTATTTAGTTCTTCGACACCAATACATAAATACCCTTGAACGGGTTTTGTTGTTAGTTATCAAGTTGTCAATATGCAGTGTGTCCAACAAATAATAGTTCAAGAAGGAAGTGTTTGTGAAATGCGCTCTATCCCCTTGGTTATGCAAGGGAGAGCTTGCTAATTAGATTTTTGTTGATGTTACTGTAAATGCTTAGTCCTTGGATTTGTTAATTTTTAGGGCATGGACCTGGCATGGGATCATTGCTAGCTGGGGGTGCTGCAGCTGCAGCAGCTGCATATGGCGCTCAGCACGTGGGACATGGTGGTGGTCACCATGGACAGGGTGCTTACTATGGACAGGGTGGTGCTCAGTATGGACATGGAGTTCCCCATGGATATGGGCATGGGCATGGCAAGTTCAAGCAGCATGGCAAGTTCAAGCAGGGGAAACACGGGAAGCACGGGAAATTTGGGAAGCATGGCGGGTTTGGGGGAGGCAAGTTCAAGAAGTGGAAGTAAACTGCGTTCTGCAATTGAATATATATCAACTACAGATGCCGATTCTCGTTTTAATGAATAAACTAAACTATACATGTTATGGATGATGGCCAGGACTTCTATGGCTGTACACTCCGAAATTATTGGCTTGATATGTTGGAATTTATTGCATGGAGTATTTGGCTTTACAGCTTCTAATATATATATATATATATATATATATATATATATATATATATATATATAATTGAGCTTTTTCCCTGTGTCTTTCAATGCTGTAATATGATTCTTTTGATTGTTTGAGTTTCTACACATTTCTTTCTTTTTCCCTCCAAACTCTTGTTATGTTATTCAACTGGGAAGCGATGGTTTTATTTTAGACGTCCCCAAAGAAATTAGTTGCGAAAGCAAAACTACTTTTTGAACTTCTTCTTTCAAGGTTCGCCCTGTAGTGAAAGAAGCACGTGACTATAGAAGAAGCACGTGATGTGAGCTATTTGACAGAGTGCCTAACCACCTCTGTTTAAACCAATTTAAAAGATTTTAGACACAGTGAACAATGTTTTGAGTACACAATTCCGAGACACAAATGAACCGAAAAGATTTGATTACTCAAAATTGTCATGAATCTTAATTACCAGATCGACACATAACAGATGGAGGCTACTTTTGAAGAAGTGGGTCTAAAGGTATTCGCGGCACTGTACTTTTAGTTTGGTCATCACATAACAAAATTACTTTCAATGTGGATTCCGAATTGTTAATCGGGTGGATTAATACTAATAAAATATATTTTGGCTAGACTAAAATTGCCTTGAAAAAAAAAAAAATTTGCGATGGGCTCAAATCCACTAAAGCTTACTCCTAAATTTCTTGTTAGCACAGCTCAGAAAACCCGTGTATAATAATAGTCTTATTGCCTTATTGGTTTGTTGGGAAAAATAAATAATACTTTTAAGGTGAATTAATATTGTAAAATGTATGGTCAATATTAAAGTTGTCTAAATTGGTCTCACCATCCCTTATCACAGTAGTAGTTAAATTCCGAAGTGGAATCGTTTCTAAATGCCCAAATTATCCTTATTAGCGTACCAAATGCTCAATTCATCTTTCTTTTCCTATACACAGAGACACGTTGATATTTCTTCAACGCAATCACATTCCGTTCTCTGTTTCAATCATACATTTAGATTCAATTTAAAATCAAATCTTTCTCTTTCAACCATATATTTAGATCCAATTTAATATCAAATGTCTATGTTTCAATCACACATTTATATCCGGGTAAACTGACAAAAAAAATCCCTTGAATTATTTTTGAAATTGTAACTAATCGAATTATATTTTGTGCATAACCTCTTATGAACTATTCACATTTTCTTACAAAATGTCTCAATGTATAGACTAATAAATTATGAAAAAATTCATACTAATTTGATGACATATTCTCCATTAAATTTGTTTAATTCTACCTTTAAATTTTAAAATTTATTGTTTAAATAAAAATCTTAAGTAATTTTTTTTAATAAAAAATTTATGAATTTCCTTAAATTTTCATGAACATATTACATGAAAAAGAAGGTATCTTTTATTTAAATAATTTATTAGTTTTTCATCAATATATTGTATGAAAAATAAAATATTTTTTTACGGTAAAAAAATTTAAACTGGGTGTAATAAGTTTTATTATAAACAATAAAACTTTAATAATAAGTTAATTATTTAAGAAAATGGTAGTTACAAATCTATTTATTTATTTATTTTTCATTTTTATGATAAATTGATACTAATAATAAAATTTAGGCAAATAGTATTTATGAAAAAAAAATTAAGGTAAAAAGTCTAATCAATATTTATGTAAGAGAGAAGATTATAAAATAATTTAATAAGAAATGACATAATGAGAAAGGTTAAAATAACTTTTTTGCGAAGAATTTGTCCTTAATTACAACAAATCAATAGTTCAAGGACAATTTTTAATTTAGAGGGTTATTTGTAAAAGGGCAACATTTCAAGTGATTTTTTTTACACTCTACTCTTTATATCTATTTTAATATCAAATCTGTGACATGTGTATTTTGATTTTCAAATCCATCATTCAATTTTATGTGATCAAATTTGTTCTTATGCTTTCTTGCCTTCTCAAATTTAATATTCTATACAAAATTATCATTAATAATTATACATTATTACTAATGCAATTTTTTAAAATATTTTGGGCGCTCCGCTGTGATAATCAAGTGTTATTGAGTCTCAGGGCGGAACTAGTGTATGCCTAGGGCCCAGCCCGCTTACTATAATACATATATTAAATTTATATATTTTTAGATGTATATATGAAAAAATTCATATAATGCCCTCCCTAAAATTTTTATTTTCTAAAATTATCTCTTAAATTTTATATTTCTTTTCATTTTTACTCTTTAAATCACTTGACACTTGGTTCAAGAATTAAAATTTGATGACGAATGGCATTGTATATTGGGGTGGTTTTGTAGTTATGGCCTTCCTGGTTGGATTTGGGATTTGTCTAGCCTTCTTGACAAACAGGTCTTTTGTTCATCTAGTGTGTAGCACCTATTTATGGTGCTTAACTAGTATGTTATTTGGACTCTGGTAAAAATATGTTACGTACAAATATTCATTAGTTGGATGTGTCAAATCTTTAAAATAAGACACATAACAATGCTAAAAATTCAGACACATAACAATGCTAAAAATTCACATATTATTTAACGTCTTCTATTTTATTTTCTAAAGTAAAATAATGTCATTACCAAACATAGTGTCTAATATAAGCATTTCATTCATTTTCAAGCAATAATATGATAAAACAGAATTATTGGATGTAATTTTTAAGTCCGGTGCCTTAAATCTGGTATCCCTTGAGTTTCAGGGAATGAGTCTACAAGCTTCCTTTACAGTGAAATATGATGAAAACAAACCCAACGCCGGTGACAAATGCTGTGAGAGTAGTCTGAAATCTTCAACATCTCTCACCCAAAACCAACATCAATAAGACTGTAACCTGCTGGCTTCTTTAGTTGTTTATCCTGAATTATTCCTCTCAACTCTACAGCATCACTCCAGCTTCCAGCGGCGACATACATATTTGATAACGAGACATAATACCCTACGTTATCAGGTTCCAATTCAAAGAGAATTTTTGCAACTTCTCTTCCCATCTCAAGGTCTCCATGAAGGTTGCAAGCGCTTAATAAGGCCCCCCAGACGCCTGGTTCAGGTTGGCTTGGCATTTGCTTGATAAATTGATAAGCCTCGTGCAGCCTTCCAGAACGACCCAGCATATCGACCATGCACACTTGATGCTCAGTGGCTGGTTCAACTCCAAATTCATGGAACATGCGTTCATAATACCGAACACCTTCATTGACAAGCCCCGAGTGGCTGCAAGATGACAAAAGGTTTATGAAAGTGCTTTTAGTTGGTTTAGTCCCAGACTTGATCATATCATGGAATAGTTCAATTGCTTTCCTGCCATTACTATGGAACCCATAAGCAGATATCATAGAGTTCCAAGCTGCGACAGACTTCTCTGGTGAAGAGTCGAATATCTTGAGTGCTATGTCTAATCTCCCACAGTTGGCATACATGTCCACAAGAGCAGCAAACACAAAAGAATTCCTCTGGAAACCAAACCTGAACACATGACCATGGATCTGTTTCCCATGTCTTAGCACTCCAAGTTGTGTACAAGCTGAGAGAATGCTAGCCATGGTAATCTCGTTAGGTTCAAAATCAAGAAAACGAAACAATTCTAGTGCACTTTTACCATCCTTATTCTGAGAAAATGCAGAGATCATGCAATTCCATGAGCATAAATTGTGATTGCAAATAGATCTAAACACCAATCCTGCACTCACAATCTCACCATATCTGCCATACATGGTAATTAATGCATTCTGAACACGAATATCTGTCCCCACCAAACTTTTAGCCGCAAACCCATGAAGTAATTTCCCCTCAAACAGCAATGGAAGATTTCCACAAGCTAGTATAGCATTAACAAGGGTAATGGAGTCATGCCTGACATGGGACTCCCGCTTCATTATATTGAATGTTTCTAAAGCTTTCCAGAAATAGCCACTGCGGGTGCAGCCTGCAATTAGAGTGTTCCAACAAGCAGTATCTGCAATAGCAGAATTTTCCCTCAACAAAGAGAAAGAAGCTATCAAGTCTTCACAATTCATATACATGAACATGAGGGAATTAACTGCAAGAATATTGTTTGAAAATCCCAATTTTAACTGCCAACAGTGAATTGATTTCCCAAAGTGGAGTGATGCAAGGGAATTACAGGAAGGAAGAACTGCTAAAAGAGTCGACAAGTTGCATTTTGAACACATCCGATGCAGTTCTTTAAACAAAGTTTGAGCTTCTCTAGAGTTTCCATTCTGAGAATACCCAGAGATCATTGTATTCCATGATATCAAGTCTCTTTCTGGGGCAGCATTGAACAAGTGCTCAGCTGCTTTAACACAACTGCATTTCAAGTACATATCCATCAGACTGTTAGTCACTGACATATTCATTGCCATATCTCTTCGAATTGTGAAACCGTGAATAGTTCTTCCTTCTCTCAATAGCATCAATTCTGCACAAAGTGGAATTATGATAAGTACAGTCACTGTATCGGGCTGGACTGATTCTGCTAATAACATTTCATGCAGAAGACTGAATGCTTCTAAGATATCTCCATTTGAGGCAAATCCATGAATCATTGAATTCCATGAAATCACATCCTTAAACGCCATCTCTTCAAACACATTGTTTGCAGCATCAACATTTCCACACTGAGAATATAATGAAATAAGAGAGTTTGCAAATGAAATATGGGAGCTCTTATGGTAACCCAATTTAATTCCCCATCCATGAATTACTTGACCAATACCCAATTCTCCCAGACAAGTAGACGCTGCAATAGCACACGAGTGAGTCACAGCATCAGCTTGTAATCCACACGAAGCCATCTCCCTGAAGTACCATAGAGATTTCTCAGGATTGTTATGATAAAGACAACCATTGATAACTGAATTCCAAGAAATGAGGTCTCTATACTGCATTCCTGCGAACACACACTCCGAGGAGCTCAAGTCACCACATTTTGCATACATGTCTGTGAGAGCATTACACAAAAAGGAATCGGAAAGCATCCCTGCCTTCATGCTCAAACAATGAACAGCCCGCCCTTGCTTCAATTCGTTCATATCAGACACCGCCGAAAGGACAATTACAAGAGTAGTGGAGTCAAACCCACTTCCCCATTTCATCATCTCCACCAAGAAATTCACTGCAGCTCCAAAACACCTATTCTCAATTGACGCGGTCATCATTGCATTCCAAATGATCACATCTCTGTAAAGAATTTCACCAAACAGAGCCACCGAAGAACCAAAGTAACCAGCTCTCGAGTACATAATAAGGAGAGAGGTGGAAGTGGGTAAGTGAGCAAGAGCACCCACCTTCAGTGCAAAGCAATGGACAATCACTGCAGTTACAATATCTGTTTTCACGGTGGAAAATCTAATGAGGTCGAGAACATTGTGGAAATGGGTATCATCAAATCTCTGTTCTCTTTTAGGCATTTCATCGAATGACTGACAGACAGTGGTAAAAGGAGCAGAAATTTGAAACAACATGGGACAAAATCTTTGAATGCAAGGAAAGGATATGATGGGTAAGGAGGCATGAACGTGTTTGTGATGATGAGCATTGCATAATGGGATTTGGAAAGGTTGAACATTTTGAGAAACTATGCTTAGGCAGATTTGATATAGAGATGATGAGGCTCTTCTTTGGAAGTTGGTTTTTGATGTTTTTGTGAAAGCTTTTGTTATTTTGGTCTTAACTGCCCAACTGCCCATGCCCTTTTGGGGAGACAGATCTTTTGTCCATGTTCATTATTAATGGTTACATGTTTTTGCAAATGGAAGGATAATCGATCCAACCTAGATCCAAATGACAACACTAACCAACCGGAAAATAAAAGAAATTTTTTGAGGCAAACTTACAATTATACCCTTTTATGTTTTTAAAATCAAATGTGTTTATGCATAATTTTTTATAAAAATGTTATAATGATTGTTCTTTTTTGCTGAATGTTCAATAAATTTATTTATTTGAAATTTTATATGAGTACTTCATTATTTGAAAAGGAAAAAATATATATTCAATAAAAAATTCTTTAAACCTATTAACTATTTTAAAAAGGATAATACTGGAAAGAATAATGAAGAGTGCTAGTGGTAGTTGCACCTGCGACTGTCGCTCTACACTCGCATACGTGTCAGCAGTCTATTGACAGTTGACTTTTTCTGTTTTGTTTGCACTCGTACCTGATCATCTCCCTCTCTCATCCCCCATGCATTTTCTTTTCTCCCTCTCTCTAATCTCTACCTTTGCAAAACCTAGATCAAACAAACCCAAAAAACCTGATCTCTTCAAACCCAAATTCATCACCTCACCAATAGCAACCTTCGCCGAAAAATTAAACCTTCATGAACAAACATCACCGTTTTTTTTTTTTGCCCCATTTTCTTCTCTGTTTCCTCTCTGTCTTTCTCCCAAATTGCTGCATTTAATAATGAGAAATGTTTCTTGTTTTTTATTGTCAACCTCTAAAAAGTCAAAACGAAAACAAAAATCGCGTTCAATAAAATGTTTTTGTTTTTCTATAACAGAAAACGTTTTCAATTTTTGTGAAGAAAAGAGAAAACATGAAACGTTTTCACTAATGTTATTGCACAGGCACTATTCATTTCAAATAAAATTCATATTATTTGTGTTATATACTAAGTTGCATATTAAATGTTAATAAAAATATATATTTTTAATATAGAATAAATTAAATATTGTATATTATTTTCTATTTGATAAAAATATATTTTAATATATAATATATTAAATAATAATGTAAATTATTTTTTGTGACAAAATAATTTTTGATATAGAATATAATATTATTAAATTATTAAGCAGTAGATATTTAATATTATTATATATCATATCTATATTATATTATATGTAAATATTAAATTATAATTAATTTACAATATTATAACACAATATATATTTTATTACATATAAGATATATTATTTAATATTTTTTATTCATAATAAATTATCATATGCTAAATATATTATATATCACATAATAAATGTATACATCATCCATATACATGTATATATATACATAATTGGTGGGAGTGTTTTTGTCTTGGTATATCTAATTTTGTACTTGTTGATGCAAAAATTCGCACGGTCCATAGTTGAGGGCCATTTCTGCAAGACAAGAGAAGTGATGACCGGCGTGGTGCCGATCGGGTGCACTCTGAAGATCAAGTTAGTACTTGACGATTGAATATCCGATAAAGGATTAACTATGGAATTTATGGCGTATCTTTCGAGTTGCTCGACTTTTCCTTTATAGTAGAATTAACAATAGTCGTGTCCATCTAGGAAATTGGTTTCCTTTATTCCTCCACCAAGGATTGGGAGAGTTACTCCACATAGAAGTCTTTGCTATCTCATTTATGTATAGTCAATCCATACTTCTTGGGCTTTAATGTCGATTAGACTTTCATATGGGCTAATATTCCTTATCAGTTGCCCCCCATTCCTGTGTTTACATGCCAAACTTAGGGAGTGTGAGCCATTTTCATCCTTGCTTTATTTTCAACCAGTTTAGCCATGTTTTTGATCAATTACTTTGTAGGCTTTGAAGATACGACTTGTTGATGTGTGTTCCTAAGCACTGTTTTGAATATTGTATATATTATGTCCCTAACCAATGTGTGTTATTCGGGTAGTATGCTTGATTAGACGTTGGTCTTAACACGTACTATTCTTTTATCGAGAGTTTTTGTAATATTTTTGAATTTCATCATTTTTCTTTTTTTCGAAATTTTGTTATTGTAAGGGCGTTTTCGTCTTTTGTCACCTTGTTTACCAGACACTACGGAGTGTGCCGGCTGTGTCTGAGGGTTGTTTGGAGCATTCCATTGAGTTCAGAACTCTTTAAAATGCAAGGGTGATCATTTGTGCATTTTTCTATTTTTTCGGGCCGGACGATTCCGTGTGGGACCCGCTACCAGAATGGTTGCGTATGGGGTTTTTGTTGGGTCCATTTGCAACATAATCATTTCATTTAATGTAATTTAAGTGGTTGTAAATTAATATGTGTATATGTGTGTGGTGTAAAAAGAAAATGAAAATAAAAGAAAAAGAAAATAATTTTTAGGTGGGGCCCACAACCACTTTAAGTGGTCATAAGACCACCTTCTTGGTCTCAATCTTCTCCCTTCTCCCACTGGTTCCTTTCTCTCACTTTCTTTTTTTCTTTTTATTTTTGCTTCAAACTTTGAACCTTGATTTCTTCCTTAATACTTGGTATTTTTAAGTACCGTTTGCAGCAAATTGAAGCTCACGACGAGATCTACAAGTTGATTAGAGCAATTCCTAGTTTAGTGCACTTGGGAATTTCGAGATCTAGGGCACAAAAATTAGGGGGTTTTGCTTAGATTGAGGTAGGGGTCTCTAATCCTCACATTCTTGTACTTTTGTGAACTCTCCTATTTTAATTGTTGTCAAGCATGATTAATTTGAGAAGATTGTCCCTTGAATGACTTAATTGTGGATATGAAGTATGCAAATATGTGTATTTGTTAAATAGTAGGAGAAGCATGCCTTATTTAAATTGATTGCTTGAAAATGATACAATTGTTGTAATAGAAAATCTATGCTTATATGTGTTGATGGTATTGTGTGAGAAGCATGCTTAAATGTTAATTTCCATGCCATTGTGTTTATGATATTTTCCTGGAAATTTCTATGAAGAAGTATGTTAAATTGTGAAGCGTAAATTTCCTTTATTTTCATATTATTGGGAAATTATGTAGCATGTATGCATTGGGCAAGAAAAGGGTAAAATGTTTTGAAAAGGATGAAAAAGGGATTTTGGGAAGAATTTTGATAAAACGATTTTGAGAAAACCCGGTCGCCACGGAGTCACCAAAGGGCTGGTGTGTTAATGTAACCTAGAGAGAACTAGAGGAAACATCCTAGCATGGTTGAGCCACCAAAGGACACCGCGGGGGTACCAAGGGTCAGGGACAATAGCCAACCCTTCTCTCGTGTCGCTACGGAGTCACCAAAGGACGGGTTATATTAACAGTTTGTGAAGCGATGGATGTTTTTGTACATGGGGAGTAACATACATGGCATTGCATCCATGACATGGCATTTGCTTGTTTTGAACTTGGGATTTATATTGTATTTTCGCCAGGCTTAGCATGATCCCGTTCCCTATTGTCATATTCATTGTTTGGATTCACGAGATCACGAGAGGTGTGTCTTAGGTATCACCTACTGAGTTTTATGCTCACCCTATCATTTAACATTTTTCAGGACCTGGAAAGGAAGTAATTGAAGCGGATCCTTTATAAGCTTAAGGAGGACTATGAAACTATTTTTGTGCTATCTTTTGTGTCTAGCCCATTCTTTTGTAAAGTTCCAAAACCATAGTGAGCTATATTAGTTTTGCAAGTCATGGTCATGTAATGTAAACTGTAACTTTTGAGGGTAATTAGATATAATTTGAGATCATGTAAATACTTAATGATGAATGGGAAATGAGGTTATCTTTTGAGCTATTGTTAATGCCATCTAATTGTATAATATCATGCTTTGTTGCCGGGAATTCAGAAATTGGTTGCAAGATAGGTCCGGTATAGGTTGAACATGCACAAGGCACAGGCAGAATGCTTTTCCAGTGAGTTTAGGGTTCAGGGACCTTGTTTAGGCCGGCTAACCCTCATCATCAGCCGACTGAAACCCTAGGTTCGGCAAACCGAACCCCCTTCGTCAACTGACCGACGCTTGCACCGTGACAGTCCTGAGAGTATGTTGATTTCAGAATCGTTTCAATCGGCCGACCTGTAGGTCAGCCGATTGAACCTGCCCTATCAGACACCCGATAAAGGGCCATCAGCCGGCTAATCATTCCCTTTTGACCTGTATCAGCTATCCCTCTCTGCAAAGTTGTATCTTGGAATGTTTTGGAACCCTAGATAGACTCGTTTGACAGGTATGGACTCAGGAAAATGGTGGTATGACCTAGTTTACCTCGGGTTCTGGTAAGGATCGGGTTAGCAGTTCGGACCCACGGGTTTGGGTCGTTACAGTTTTTTCCTCCACCCTTTAGTAAGGGGTAGTTGTCTCGCCTTCTTTAATACGAGCGATGGTTTTCACCTTAGAAATAGTATTCTCACCCTTTTAATAAGGGAGATAGTTGTCTCATCCCTTTAGTAAAGGAAGAAAGCTTTAATTGACTTATCATTCTCTATGGAAGTAGTAGTTGTCCTTTCATCCCTTAAATGAGGGAATGAGGTGAGTTATCGGGCTTTACCCAACCATTTTAGTATGGGGATGACAATTACGAGTTTCACTCTGTCTGGAACCTTATAATACGGGTTACTTTGATTTTGATACCTCATAATACGGGGTACTTTGATTTTGATCACTTAGCTCGGGCCCTTATAATACGGGGCACTTTAATTTTGGCCCCTTTTAATACGGGGGATGCCAATTACGAGCTTTATTCAGCTCGGGCTCTTATAGTACGGGACACTTTAATTTTGACCCCTTTTAATAAAGGGGACGATAATTACGAGCTTCATTCAACTTTGGCCCTTGTAATACGGGCACTTTAATTTTGACCCCTTTTAATATAAGGGACAACAATTACGAGCTTCATTCAGCTCGGGTCCTTATAGTACAAGGCACTTTAATTTTGACCCCTTTTAATATGGGGGACGACAATTACGAGCTTCATTTAGCTCGAGCCCTTATAGTACCGGACACTTTAATTTTGGCCCCTTTTAATACGGGGGACGATAATTACGAGTTTCATTCAACTCGGACCCTTATAATACGAGACACTTTAAAT